TATATCTTTTCTTAAATTTATATTTTATTTAAATATAAAAATATTATTATTTTTTAAAATCATATAAAAACAATTATAAAATAATAAATAATAAAACGCTTGGAATCCCTACAAAAATTAAAATAATGTAACTGTTGAAGATGATTTAAATCTCTTTTTTTTAAAGATAAGGCCTAAGGGTAACTTTTTTATTAGGCAAAAAAATGGTCATTTAAATTATCCAATTTGATTTATTTTAATTAAAAATAGACTATCTTCTTTTTTTAAATATAAAATATTCTAAATATGATTAGTATTTTAATTAAAATATAAGTGTATCCGTGTAATATATTAGGTGGTTTATATTTGATCGTTCTTCTCTCTCTATTTTTTGACCCTTAGAAATATAGATTTTGACCCACAAATTTTTTTAGTCCAATTTCATTTTTAACTTTTTATATAATTTGTTTTTTAAATTAATATAAATTGTGAATTATTAGGGTTATAGTTTGTTAATTAATGTATAATTGTTAATTTTTTTGTTAGTTATTAGTTATTTGGTTAGGGTTTGTGTAACACCCCTAACATGAAACAAAATAACAACCAACAAAAACTTGATATAAATAAAATCGACCCAAATATCTCGTTTCACAAAAAGAATAGTTCACGCCCACTATTACCATATAACAATCGAGTTTAAATGTGATAACCTTCTAATCTAATCTATACAAGAAAATATTATGCCCGGGTGTCACTAATCTTCCCAAAAAGGTTGTTGTTATCGAGAATGACATCACCAAAAATGTTACAGGCTCTAAGCACCTTGTTCCAACATCAATCAACTCTTTCTATCAAATCGCCACTAGATATTGGGATACACGACGAGAAGTTCAAGGTGGTACGTGTTTATTTTTTGGAAAATAAACTCTTATTTAGCCTCTTATGTCTGATCGGATCAGGCGTTAGGCTATTAAGACTGTTTTTTTATAAGAGGTTAAAACCAAACCTCTTACTGTCCTCCTATTGGACCAAACATAAATCCACTTAGTGGGCTTTAAAACAAGAAAAGGCAACCCTCGCTCTCTCCCTCTTTCCATTGGTGCCACTTTTTAAAATCTGGTGTGCTCCTCCTAATCAATTGGTGCCACTTTTTAAAATCTGTTGTGTTCTTCTGATGAACAGTTTTGTTATCATTGACCGCTTCATTCTTATTCTTGTTTCTTGATCAAATCCAATGTAGTATATGATGAATGGGTTTCTCAACATTATTTCATCTTTTTCTTTCATTGAATCTTGTTATTGCTTATCCATCTTCATATTTTTGTTTATGATCGATGGGTTTTCTTTATCTATGTGGGTTTATGTAATTTGTTGATTTAAGAATAGAAAGAAAATTTGGAAACCTGGTTATATAGCTTGATTCTCATGAGGGAGATTTGATAAAG